GGCTGCAGTCGCTCTTCAGGCGGATGGCGGCGCATCGGGGCTGGCACAGGGACACGCAGCTCTCGTAGTGGCTGTTGGGGGGACAGCTGACGGCTGCAATGTTACCAGAGGACAAAACGGATAGCGATTGGCACTCTGGACAAAACCGAGCTGGCAGCCAGCCACACGTGGAGCCATAATCCCCACCGCTGGTGTCCCTGGCCAGCTAACTCCCCTGCCATGGTCCTTAAACATGGACCACGCTGCTCAGAGAGGGACCTGGAGCTCGCAGGCACGCAACTAAAGGGAAAAAGCAGCCTTCGTCCCTCCATCCTACGCCGCTCGCCAGCTGCCCCGTCCAAGCTGAGCAACGCTTCTCTGCTACTCGCCACCGCCTCTGAGCTGGGGCACGCCAGTTTCCCCGAGAGCTCATGCTCCCTGCTGTCCCACCAACAAGCCTGCTCGCTGACACCAGACTAAGGTCGCCCAGCAGCAGAGATACCCGTGCTTGCCCTGGGGCCTTTCCGGTAGAGCACGGAGCCTCCGCGCTCCTTTTGCGAGGGCACGTTTTTTTACTGGGCCTTCAGAGCGTGAAGCCCACAAGACACATGCTCACGCCCGAGCGGGTCGCTTCTCCCCACACCCTGTCAGGGACCAATTGGGACCTGGCGTGCGGGGCGCCGGTTGACGGCCTCGCCGCCCCGGCCCTGTGAGAGCGGTGCTTTCCGAGCCTTGAGTTTGCTCGATAGAAGGAAGAACGACATTAATTAATTTTCAGTCTAGTTAGCAAAGACAATTACTTCCCATCTTATTTGCCAAATAGATCGGCTGCCAGAGAGCCTTGTGGGCCCCATCCTCGGGAGCCTAACTGAACATCACGTCGTCATCTCATTGACGGGAACGTGCGGTTTCATTAGAGCAAACGCGCACTCCTGGCTTTGAGGACAACTGCTACAATTCCTGTTTACCGACAGAGGGACAGCGGATACTTTCTGAACTCGAGGCTTCCCCCTTGCCATCCCTGCTCCCGCTAGAACGCACGCAGTTCGTAACAACTCCACGAGAACATAACGCCCCAGACCCGGTTCCACACCTCCGCCGCGCTCGGCAAGCGCGGGAAGGACCGGCCACCGGGCCGTCGGCCTCCCCCTCCCAGGTCTGCAGACAGGTCGGTCCGGCGCGCTCAGCGGTGACCACGTGCGCACCTACTGCGCCGCTTTAGCTCACCGCTCCGTTGACCGCCCCCTAATCCGGGAGAAAACGAGGGGATCCCCGGGGCTATCCCCGGACGCTGACCGTGGGGACCCGGGACGTATCCGGGTGGATGATCTGGAGGTAGCGGGTGCCTGCCCGTGCACCACGTGGTGCTCTGCTACCTCTCTACAGCGTGAGCTCATGGAAGTGCTACAGCTACGGTGGACAAATCAAGGAAGCTCCTCTAGAGAAGAAGGACCCGGAGGCGGGGTGTCACTTACAGCATGAGGTGAAGTTCCTCCAGCCGGTAACGGCGATGCCCTGCGTTTGGCACGTGCTGGCATAATTCTGCAGCCAGCTGCAGGCCGTTTGCATGGCTCCCCCATCGACGCAGGTGTCGAAGAGGCAGTTCTTGTAGAAGAAGCTGGGGCTCATCTTGCTGTGGCATTTGGCAAAGACCCCGCTTTGGCTGGGGATGAGGCTGCAGAGCTGCTGGGGCTTCCAGAAGCCTTCCACCTTCCCGCAGGCGGGGCAGCGGTCGCCGCAGCCCACGCGGCAGAACGCGTCCCGCTTCGCCCAGCTCTGGACGAAGTC